AAATTTGTATCTGAAAGTAAACTATTATTTAAAAAACCTCTGACAAATAGCGCTTCCAAATAACTGTAGTCTAAAAATTTTTTTGGATTTACAACGCTATAGATAGTAGTCAGATGGTAATCAGATTAGTTTTGAAGTCAATCACAAAATTGGTCAACAAAAGGTCTCACAACCGTAGTATCCTGTGCAATAAACTTCACGTGAATTTTTCACTAAGAAACAGTTTTTACTAGTCTAAACTATTCAATTATTTTTTTTCTTACCTTTTTAATGTTACAATTTAACAACAAAATCCAGTAAACGTCATTTTACTTCACTTGCAAATGAATGTTTAGCAAAAAAAAAAAGTTTCAACAACAATAATTAAAATTCTGCTACCCATAGTATAACCGTGGACGATCAACTAGTTGATCAGGTAAACTTTTTTATCCAGAGCAGCAAAAAAACACCTTAAAAGCAATATTTATTATTATGTAACCAATTGTTATGCAATATCAAACTGCTTGTCACCTATTTGAAGCAAATTAGTTTCACATTAACAGTCAGTTAAAAGTGCGTATGAGAGCAATAAAACTGCATGTGAATATACCATTGCATATAAACCGCCAAACACCAACAAAAGCAATTCTTCCTGTTGAATTAGTCACCAGAAACCAAAATTTAGCGTTGATAATGTTTCAAAAGAAAGAAAAGATATCTGAAAAAAAAAAACCAGTTTAATGACGAAAAACAGATTTTTTTTACTGAACATTTTTGTACATTTAAAACCTCATTTCGCCTACTAATATTATTTTACAAAAAGAAAAAAAAGAAAGAAAAAGACAAACACCAAATAGGTCATTTTTATTATCTGCTAATTATTTCCCAAATCATTAAGCTGAACATCAAAGCAACAGTTTTTTTTAACTTATTATTTACGGTTAAATGTCAAAATTTGTCGTATATAAACGGCTTACAGCAAATGCACTTTGTTTAGACACTTTTTTTGCTCAGCTCAATCGACACCGGAAGACTTCGACTAAAATTGTCAAAATATCTTTTGAAAATCACAAATATAAAGCTGCTTACCTCCTCTGTCTGTTCAATCCTTTACTGGTCTATAACACCAACTTTTGGTAACCTGCAATTACTCCTTATTGTCAACAGTTTCGAATGCAGTTTGCATTGTATTAGCTACCTCGTTTGACAAATGATCAAAAGGAGATAGCTAATACTTTGCAGACTTCATACCAAAAAGAATCTAACTGTTGACATTTTTGGCAGCTCTGTTCAATACTCTGACAGCCAAGTATGCTGTCATTGAGCTGCTCTACCTTTATCTATTCCACTTCTGATAAAATCTATCTTATTCGTCACTATTTAGCATAAAAGGGTTACTGATTAAAGTCAAGTACAATTATCTTTTAGCTTATCTGCTTCTGGCTCTATTCATACTGTTTCTTTTCGAATAAAATAGCACTCTTTAGGGAAAATCTGAAAAGAATAAACGAAACATTGATCCGCTATGATTGGTAGACTACGGCGCCAAACTCAACGCTCTATGGTTGCAGCATACGCAACTTGGTGGTCTCTGAATTGTGACCAGGAAACTGTTAAAATCAGAAGCAAGCAAATGTTTTTACTGCTCTACAAAACTTTTACTTTCTTACTGCTACAGGCCTACCAAAAAAAGTGCTTAGAAACGAAAGAAAATTTATCAGTAAATCTAAGTAATTATTACAAAGAAAAAAGTTTTGCCTGAACTACATGAAGAAATAATTTTTGTTAATCTTTTACAGATCCATTCGTTCCAAGTAAGGGTAAAGTATGCATTCAACATTATTTGTCCATATCACAGCCAATAATCAGAACCGCTTGAAGGCGCTCAGAAACATCTGTAACACCAGTTGAATTTTGATAGATACTGCAGCAACTATTATTGCGGTCGAGAGTCACGTGAAAGAACTATCAAACAGTTTTTCCTTTGTTAACTTAGCAATCTCGATAAAGAAAAATACTGAATTTCTAAAACTGCAACAGATTATGACTTCTTCTCTCTTACATCAGTACAAAACAACACCGCTTTATCATTCAGTACTATTCAATTGTTTCTCTTACAAAAAATCATGTTTTCACTGTAGGAATTTTTCTGGAAATAAAATACTTACATTCCGATTTTCTTCTTAATGCATATCCAACCAAAAAGTTTTCATATCTCTTTCCAAAGTTGTCTTCATTATTGTCAACGGAAAACAACTTTTGAGTAACCAAAAAAAGTTGAAGAGCGCAGCAGAAATATGGTGTGAACCTAATTGACACAACGTAATCTACGATCAATTCTATTTACAGATTGTAGATTCACGTTATGCTAACCGAGTTCTCAACTTCAGCTGCATACAGCATCACTAAACGTCCTCCTTTTCCTTTTCATAACGTTGTCTAAATATCGAACGCAAATAAAAATTACGTGACCTGAAAGATTTAAATAACTGTTTTTGTACATATAACAGTGTACATTACTGTAGCGTTACTTAATCTAAAGCAGTTGTTAGGAAGCGAGTTTCCAAGAGTAGACTTGAAACAAACTTTTTCGCTAAGAAAAGCACAAAATATCTATTTCAACCATGTCAATGTTGGCCTGAATAAAAAACTTGGAAACAATAATAGTTGATCAAAACGTGCATAAATCAAAAAGAATGTAAAAAATTAACAGAAGCGGAATCTCTGGTCCTCGATCTTACGGTACCTTTTCTATTTCACGTTATTACCGTATCAAAATCAACGAACAGGTAAAATTCCTAAATAATTCAACGTGAGATTTTTTTAAACACAGCATGCTACTTTCTGACCCTCAGTTTTTAGATTCCTGTATTTTTTCAACCCCCACTCATAATGAATGATACACATTTACAATTACTCTCAGCGTTGCTCGCTTTATCAGACAGAGCGCTCTTACTCATTTATCTCGCCCTGACAGATAACGGAGGTCTCAGTATTTCAAAATAATTTTTCAATGTTCCCAGTAATTAAAAACCCATCGTCATTAAACTTCGTATTCTTATGTCTCATACAAACTCGTCATAACGACTAAAGAAAAGTACTAGTTTAAGCTTTCAAATGACGTCACATAAATATAGGACAAATCCTGAAAAGTAAACAAATTGGACAATTCATTCAAACAGTCATCATATTGTCAAAGTCAAAATAGAAAAAATTTTTATAATGTATATAGAGATCAATTAAAACTACTTTGTCATG